CCCTTGTGGCCACATACTCCAATATTTGCCTCCTGGTCACATTCTCTTCTGTGCACGAGGGTACTTCAAAAAGTCCATGGAAAAGTGAAATTGAGATCATGTGAATCTTTCCATGAACTTGCTGAAGACTCCTCCTATCCTTCCTCTGCTTCCTTCCTACCATGTGATGCATTTGGGCTCGCCTGGATAATACAGAATAATCACCCAATGCAAGAGCTTTAATTTGATTGCACCTGCAAAGACCCTTTTACCAAATAAGGTAACATTCACAGGTCCCAGGAGGGATTAGGACACAGACATCTTTGGGGGCCATTCTCAGCCTACCCCCTCCCCATGCCCTTCCCTTCCTCCCCCAACTCAGGAAAAATTGGCTCCTAAAGCACACGTCACGTCCTCAGTTTTTATGAGCTAAGAGAACATGATGTCCATGCAACACACTTATTAGGCTTATAAATACTATCTACTCATTAAAAATAAACATGCCAACTTCTAGGAAAAGATAGAGAAATGTACTTTCACTCTTCTACCCTTCCTCTGAAGGAAATGGAGCTTTTCTGTCTGCATTTACTTAACTTTGAAATAATCCCTCAAAAAGGCTTTATGGCCCATGAAGAACTTTTTTTTTTTAGAATTTTACCTGAGCTTTAATAATCCAAGAGTATAATGAGTAAAGTGTTTTAAAATATTTAGGGTGTTAGGCTGGTCATTATCTCAGCTGGTTAGAGCACAGACTTAGAACACCAGGATCATAGATTCAGATCCCCATACAGGCCAGATGTTAAAAGAAAAAAAGGTGGGGGGGCAGAGATAAGGATGATAAAATATTTAAGGTCTTAACATGCACCTTTTATTCCTTGCAGGATAGAAGTAGAAACATTTTTCTTCAATTTACAAGCACCCTGCCAGATGGGTTTTATGGCCAGACTCTGCAGGGCATGAGTGGGCCGTTTTGACTTCTCCTTGTGGAGCTAGAGCTGGGGTCTGGAGCTCACAGACCCCTCGAGTTCCTTCACAAATCCTTCACACGCAGGTCTATGAGCTAGGTAACCGGACAAAACTGTCCTTGGAGCCTTGGCAGAAGAAGCACTTGTCTTTATTCAGCACACACACGTCTAGGAGCTGGACAGTACAAAGAAACTCAGAAACTCAACTGCTACGGGCAAAGTCCAAAGTAAAAACTGAAACTGAGCAGCTGCCAGCAGAGTAAACACATTCTACCTTCAGACAGCAGCTCTCCCAGCCAGCTCTGCTAACTGCCAACACACACAAAAGCAATGAACTAAACAGATACATATGTGCACTAACTCCACCCACACAACTTGTTTACAAGAAATGTCCAAGGAGCCTGACTCAATTATCCTACTTTCCCCACACTCCTCTTCCCTCTTTTTCAACAGCAAAGGCACATCGGAGCCCCAGGGCTGTGAGATGCAGCTGCCCCTGTGCCTGCCTTCTCCCCACTCCTTCCCTTCTGCCTTCTTCTCTGAACCTAGGCTTTCCTCCTCCTGGGGCAGGAGATGCCTTCTCAAGCCCTCCTTCCTAGTCCGACGACAATTTTTAAGCTACAGCAATAGTATTGCTAAGTGACTACACCAATTGTATTGTTAAAGCAATTCGTAACTAAAGCCAAAACATTTCATTATTGTCAGGGCTAGGGCTCAGACCCTTCAAACCCATTGTACAGACTGAGTCACCAGACCCCTCACATGCAGGTCCACGCTAGGTAACTGGGACAGATCCCAGGAGCCATTGGCAGATAACATGAGCTCAGCTCTCAGCAACGGCAGCAGCAACTCACAGGTCCAGCGGCAGCGGTGGCCTCTCAGAAGGTCCTGGGAGCACTGGCAGCAACAGCCTCCAGCAGCAGTAGCAGCCTCCCCATGGCCCGCCAGGGGCACCCAGGAGCAGGGAACACCGTGGATCAGAGCCACTCATGTTTGATACTTAAGCCCATAACCCAGGAAACCTGGGTGCACATGCGCAATTACATTAGACAATAACCAAAGAACACCTGGGCGCACGTGCCTATTTATATCAAATGCTCAGCAAGATTCTGAACATTTGAGGGGTCCTGACCATTTTCCTATATTTTCCCAACACCGAACCATCACCATTCTCAATTCATCTGCATAAACAGTTCTGGAATTAGCCATCAGAAATAAAATTTCATATCTAGTAACTGATTTCAGTAGAATACAGGCCTGAAACTAAACGGCTTAGCAATGCTGGAAAAGCACCCTGCATATAACTCTGTGGCGCTGCATCAGCCCGCCTGCCAGCTGTTTCTGTCCACCCTGCCCTGAGGTAGTCAGCAGATCACTTACTGAGGCAGGAGCATCATTGGGTGGTGAATACAGGCAACCACGGCTTTGGTCCCTTCCCAGGGAATCTTTCAGCAAATCACAGGGACAAGAATTGCATCTACTACCACTTGTGATCCTGTTTTTTAGCCAGAGTGAACAAACGTTATGTAAAACAGATGGTTTTCACCACGCTTTTTGATCAAACAATAGCTGCAAGTAAGTGCTAGCAGATGAAATGAGGGGTCCACGGGCGCCTCCTGTCTCCTCCAACGGTCCCTGTTCTCCACATCACTTCACTGCAGGTGTGCTTTACAATCACCTGGGGAACCTAAAAAGATACTATTGCCCTTTGCCCATGCAATATTTGGATATACTTATACAAATATCTGAAATTCAAATTTAATGGGGTATCCTGTAGTTTTATATGTTAAATCTGGGAACCCTCCAAAAGCCCTTCACAAGCCAATTAAATCAGACTCTCTTGGGGCGGAGCTGGGCAAAAGAAATTTTGTAAACTTTCTCCAGGAGATTCTACTGTTAGCGTGGTTGACAACCAGTGACAGTCGAGCTTTTATTCTCACTTAGAGTCATTTGTCTCATACCAATCCTCACTGTATTTTGCCCTTCCCTACGTAAACTCTGCACACTCCCTTAAAGCATTTATTCTCTCGCATCAACCCAGCCTCACAAAAATTGGTATATTTTTCATTAATTTCACCTAAGGGAATGGCAGGTAAGGTAGCACAGGTGGTGATGCCCAAGACAGAAACTGCAGGGACCTGGGGATCCCTTATTCTCATTGTCAGCATTGAAGCTGTTTTTAAAATATTCCCTGCCTTAATTACTCCCCTCAGGAAGGAAAATAGGACAGGACTATCTTGATTGACTTTACCCTCCACCCATTTTTTTCTTCCAGGTGTATCTACTCGTGAAAACCTGTTGGGAGGAAGATCCAGAAAAGAGACCAGATTTCAAGAAAATTGAGAACACACTGGCCAAAATATTTGGGTATTACTGAAATTTTTATTTCATCACTAATTTTAGATTTTTCAATGATAGCTGACATTCAGTGGCACCTAAGAATGAGAATGCCTGTTCTAATAAAAAATCTCAGACTGCAAAACCTGTCTCATAAAAACTAAAACGATATGGGAACAGACTGTTTTTTCAGGGAAATAATCAGTTGAAAAGTTAAGTACTCGAGGTCAAAGCTGTCTAATTAAAGAATAAATTCTGACTGATCATCAATTTATCTGTTAATAATACAGACCCCTCTGCAGGTAATTAGGACTTAGAAGTCTAACATGAGTCCTGAGAATCTGTAAAGCCCTAGATAATTCTTAAGATAGCATGTTTCTTAAGATCTTAAAGTCTTAGGGCCGGCCTGTGGCTCACTTGGGCGAGCATGGTGCTGACAACACCAAACCAAGGATTAAGATCCCCTTACAGGACATCTTTTGGAAAAAGAAAAAAAAAAAAAAAGATCTTAAAGTCTTAAAATCACCAGTTTGGACCTAGCTATTTAAGACTTGTGTCATGAATCAGAGTATAATTCAGGGTTAGAAAAAAAAAATCATGTTACACACACAATTATCCAGTAAGATTGAACTCTAGATGTCTCATGTTTTCAGCCACTATACTGCAGAATGAGAACAGTAACACTGAATTAAGAATTACAAGGTTCAATTTCCAGGCTAGGATCTGAAAATAGCTTTGCTGTGGGACATTGGGTAAAATGTAAGCTCACTAGGTGTCAGTTTTCTGGTTAGCAAAATCGGATTGATCAAGATGATTTCTATGACTCCTTCCAGATCTTTCTGTAGTTCTCATTAGGTCAAAAGATTCAGACCCCTAATGAGGCTAAAAGCCCAGGGCTGGAGATGAGGTAGAGTGAAGTTGATGGAAGCGTGGTCATTGGTTGGTAGCACTGAGCTGTCAGCTGCGGGAATGAGCAGGAAATAATAAAGGACTCAGTTCTTGCCCTCTTTTCTGTCCTTCACAGACCTGTAGTAAGATCAGATGAGATTTTATGTGCGACAGATGAAATGTAAACTCATGAAGATAAACTAGGCCCCTGATATTTAGCGTTTAATGTGATGGGTTCTTAAACTTGGCTGCACATTGGAATCACTTGAGCTTTAAAAAATGCTGATTTCAGAGTCCTACCATAGAGAGTCCAGTGTAACTGGTCTGGAGTGCAGGCTAGCATCAGGAGTTTTAATAGCTCCCTGGGTGATTAAAATATGCAGTCAAAGCTGAGAAAACCATTTTAATGAATAAACTCATCATGCAGTAAGATAATCCATCTTCATCCCCCACACCTGCTCCCTCACGCATTCTACCAACTAGACTCTGTATTGGTGGTTTCAAGTAAGAATCCCCTGAGGAGCTTGTTAACAAATATGTTTCTTAATCCCAAATCCCACAATTTTTAGTCATGTATGTCTGGGGTAGGACTCAGAAATGTATTGGATTTTAAGCAAATATCCTTCCCCGTGCCAGAGGATTATGATGTAGGCCATCTCCTCCTGAGAGCTGACGTGGTCATTTATCATTGTGACTGCCGTAATAATGAAATGGCTAGGATTTATTGAGCACCTTCAGTTGTGCCTTATATGTTAGCAACATTATCTCGCAAAGTTGGCGACTCATTCAAGTCTCCTCAGTCAACAAAGTAATCCAGAGTTAAGTTTTCTGCTTTAGGACCCTGGCTGTCCTGAAAAGATAATGTTCAATTTTGCTTTTCTTGGTCCTTCTCTTACACTTCCACTTATCACTTCTAGACCATTTTAAAGGTTTTCCTTTATTACAAACTGTTTATTATGACAATTTTTAGAATATATGAATAAACAAGCAAGAAAGTAAAAACATCACCTATTTTTCAATAGATGATGACCAGTTTTCAAAAACTAAAATTGGGATTATAATTTCTTGCTGTTTTGTAAACTGACTTATTTAATATAGAGGTAGCATCTTTCTGCGCATTTAACTATTATAATTCGTACTTAATAATACATTAATATTCCATTGCATCATCATAGTTTCACTCCATTTTTCTCACACTTTTAGGTGATTTGCTGTTGTAAAGGATGCTGTCACTTTCTTTGTAGTTAACTTTAGACATGTTCATGATTGTTTCCTTAAGGTAATTCTTAGGAGTACAGATGTTGAGTTGTTAGGTATATGCATTCTTAAAGCTTTTGATACATTTACCAGATTGTTCTCCAGGAAGTTTGTACAATGCCTGTTTCCTCCTTCTCCTGCATTGGTTTACCATGATTCTAACATTTGGGGTTATTTTTAATCTTATATTTATTTCTAGCTTTTTACTTCTCTTGAGGTTACATTTTTTTGTTTGTTGGCCATTTTTATTTTTTCTTCTCTACTTATCTGTTCGTCATATTTACCTGTTGTTTTACAGGATGTTCATGTTTTCTTAATCACGTATAAGAGCTCTTTATCTATTACTACCTACAGCCTTTTTCATGACCAGAAAAGTGAAAGTTACATGGATACCTTGATCCGCCGTCTACAGCTATATTCTCGAAACCTGGAACATCTGGTAGAGGAAAGGACGCAGCTGTACAAGGCAGAGAGGGACAGAGCTGACAGACTTAACTTTATGTTGCTTCCAAGGTAAGGCAAGTCCTGCATTGTGGTTTCCTGCAACCCCATGGCCATGCTTCAAAGCTTAAAGCTGAAACTTTCAGCGTGTCTGTCCAGTATTGTTTTTCTTTGTATCTATATAGGATCGTCTCTTTTTGCGTATTATTCAACAGATTATTCAGTTTAAAAATGCATGTACATTGCTCGGCCCTGTTCTGGTGTGTACTCTAAATACCTAGAAGAGGTAATTTTCACATGGTTGCGTGGTGCCACAGAAGGAGTGGGGACTGTGGACTTAAGTTAACTGGCCTGGGTCCCAACACTTCTTTGCCACTTTCATTACATCTATGACTTTAGGCAAGTCTCTGTTTCTCCTCAATCTCAAAATGGAAATTAAAGTTTTCTTGCAAGATATGTGAGCTATAAGACACTTTCAGGCTCTGCTAGTTCCTTTGCATTCTCCTTTTCTCGACAAGTAGAAGCCAAGTTACAAGAAGTAGGAGCCGTCTTTGGCGGAGGAGGTAGGGAAACGCACTGGATGTCTCAGCGCAGAGGCATCCGGGGGCTGACCGTCATTTTGTGAAGCAACATTCAGCCATGACACAAGAGGAAGGAAGGAAGATTGAATCCACAAACAGTTTAAAGTTTTGTAAGGGTTGGTACTCAGGTAATAACTGAGGAATGATAAGCAAGAAAATAAAATGTGAAGAGCTAGGGGCTGGCTGGTTAGCTCAGTTGCTTAGAGGGTGGTGCTGATAACCCAAGGTCCAGGTTCGATCCCTGTACCAGCCAGCTGCCAATAAAATTTTAAAAATTAATTAATTAAATGTGAAGAGCTGGGGAATAGGCTTGGCCCACAACTGTACACAAGTGAGAAGTAATGTCCTCTTTTCATTAAAGTATAATAAACAGTACTATTAGATTAAGGATAAACTAGGCAGTCCAGCTTTGGGTAAAATCATGGAAATTGAAGTCAGTAAGGCCTGACTCCAAAGCATGGTTTTACCACCTACTACCGACACACAATCTTGGGCAATACCTAAAAGCTCCGAGCCTTGGTTTTCCATCTACCTTCCAGGATGGCTCTAAAGGTACTTAGCACTGTGCCTGGAACATCCATGGTGGCTATTATTATATATGGCAACTATGGCTTTTATATATTACTTGTGTTGGTTTTATTTTAAGCCATTTAGAATATCAGCTCTACGTGAGTAAAGGAAAGATTTTGAGATCATATGAGCTGTTTTCTAAATAAAGAAACAGTTCCTCTTCTAAAACCTAAGTCAAGAGATAGGAGTTACACAGACGCTCTACTCAGTCATCTGGGCCTGAAGAGAGCCTAACGCAGAACCCACCTCCATCAGAGTGCCTGGCACCAGGCTGGGAGTATACCCTGGGAACAGGCTGGAACCCTCATGTTGACTTCAGAGATGGCAATTTCCATCAAAGCCCCATGACTACTAGTTATATAATGCATAACTCCTTGCCTGGCCTCGAATGCCTAGCTGTGACAACAACATCATCCTGGGTATCTGGCTGTCTTCTCAGGGTTTCTTCATCAGTGGTTTTAACCAATAATGTCACTCAAATTGTTTCAAACAGCTGGCTCCCCACCTCAGCTTTTCCCCAGCCTTGGTTCAACGTGCCACTTTGGCCACAGGTGGTAGATGTTTTTAGCGGATTGTCAAAGGTTGTATAGCACGAGTCTCTTCAATAGCTACAATACACCATGACTCTGGCGTAACTCACTTCGATTATTTATGTTATTTACATTTACAAAGTAAAACTAAAACAGGCATGAACAATACTAGAAGAATCAAAAGAAATACTTATAGCAAAAGGGTAGATAAACTTAAGACTGCATGTAGGAACCAGATATCACTTAAATACTCAAAAACCTTGGAGTTTTGAAACAGATTAAAATAGAATTTTTTTCTTCTCCTGGGGAGACTTTCTAAGATATCTACTCTCTATACTAATTCTGTCTGTGTCAGCAGCAATCTGTTAGCAAGGTTCACCATGTTAAGTCACAGCCCTTCTTTCTGAAAGATTTATGTAAGACAAGAAAAATACTAAATTGAAGGCACTTTTTTCCCCTCCTCATCTAGGCTAGTGGTAAAGTCTCTGAAGGAAAAAGGCATTGTGGAGCCGGAACTATATGAGGAAGTTACAATCTACTTCAGTGACATTGTAGGTTTCACTACTATCTGCAAATACAGCACCCCCATGGAAGTGGTGGACATGCTTAATGACATCTATAAAAGTTTTGACCACATTGTTGATCACCATGATGTCTACAAGGTAACCAAACCACTTTACCTAACAGGCTGAAACAGCACTACAGACCAAAGTCATCAGAGCCTGAATTGGCTGTCCCTAGTCCTCTCTAATTTAACATTTAGTGAATTGGTGGTTGAATCCAAGCTAAAAGTGAAGAGAAGTGGAAGAATTAGAAAAGGTCAGAAGTCAGAATTACCATTTAACTTTAAGAAGCAACACAAAAGAAAGACCTTAAAGTTCAATGGGAATGAATTTGGGGTGCTAATTTTAGAGAAAATGGCATACTCTCAAATCACCTCCAAAAGAGAGTGTTTAGGCTGATTTCAAAGGAAACAGAGAAAACACTAGAGTTATAATAAATAGAACACACACTACAATAATGTGTATTATGTCTCAGAGGAACCCACAACGATGTTTTGTCAAATAGTATGTAGAAAAGGATGGCTGCTAATGATGGCTTTTCTGGTAATTACAAGTGTTCCTAAAATGACATAAAACCATTCAGATTACTTAAACATTTATAGAATTGTCACAACATCTGGACAATTTATATAATTATAAAGTACTTTTATATGGTTAAAATTCTTTACGGCTATTTTATCATCCATTTAACCAAACTATAAAAACCTTGAAGAAATCAGCATAAAACTGGTCTTGAACTGGCCCCCAGAAAAAGTGTACAGGTCTATGCTCATCCTGAGTTCCCAAAACACCTTTTGTGTTTGATATGTATTTAACTGCTTGTGTTTAATTTCTGTGCCTTTCGAAGGACACAGAGCCACTGATGAGAAACTATTTCTGCAGGTGGAAACCATTGGTGATGCCTACATGGTGGCTAGTGGGTTGCCTAAGAGAAATGGCAACCGGCATGCAGTAGACATTGCCAAGATGGCCTTGGAGATTCTCAGCTTCATGGGGACCTTTGAGCTGGAGCATCTTCCTGGCCTCCCAATCTGGATTCGCATTGGAGTTCACTCTGGTATGTAGCTGAGCATCTTAGCAAATGGGAACCATATGTTCCTCCGTGCACCAACTAATCAGAACGGAAAGCAGAAAAGTGGGTCTCTTCAAAGACCATAAAAGTTACATTGCCTTGTTGAAAGAAAAATGTTAGAAAAACTAAAAAAATTTATGTCCCATGAAATACTTAGGGAACATTATGCCAAGTGCTTGTCTTCTGGGTCTTTTGTCATCAGGTCACCAATCCCAGAAGTGCCACACTAAAATAAAAATAAAACTTGAGCCATTGAACCTTCAAGACTGTGGTGCCCTCCAGCAATGTGGAGTTCAGGGTTTGTGGCTTGGCACAGTAAGCAAGCAGTAGGATCGCCTTCGTCCTACCTGAGAGCTTTCTTAATAAAAATATTAAGAAAGACTGCCCACTTTTGTGACCTAAATCTCTGGATACTTTCTGCTTCGTGCAAATGTACTTTCCGGAAGCATGCATTGAAGAATGATGCTTCCCTTGTTAGATGCATCCATTTAAAGCAAAAGTCAGCTCACATTTCATGTTTTCCCTCACTTCTCCATGACATGAAGTGTTCAGCACTGTGATCCCGAGAAGAAGCTTACCCATTGTAAGTCCACTCTGCGGTTTTCATTGCTTCCACTTCCTGCTTTCTGCCCTTCATGTCAGGTCCCTGTGCTGCTGGAGTTGTGGGAATCAAGATGCCTCGTTATTGCCTGTTTGGAGATACCGTCAACACAGCCTCTAGGATGGAATCCACTGGCCTCCGTAAGAAGGGAGAGTGATTTTCTTAGAGGACAAAGATTCTGTGTTCTGACAGAGGGATTGCAGGATAAAATGCACAAAAGGAGATAAAAATACCAGTGAGAAGTAGAAAGACCTTCCCGTTGGCCGAACATGAGCCTGTGTCAATCCAGTCCCTGCTACATTTGCTTTTGTTGTTGTTGTTTGCTGATAATTATTTTACTTTTCCTTTTTTGCTCAGTTTTAGGCTGTTTCTGTACTTTGGTTCATTTGCAATGAATTCATGCACATTCTACCTGGAATAATCATGAAATTTAGCGTAGATCCATGTAAGTTAAAAAAAAAAAAAATTCAGTGAGCTAGATGTGGACTATATACCCTGGTTCACATTCCCATTCCTACTTCCTTTTCATTTGGTTTTTGTGGAAATTGATTTTAGTAAAGAAAAAGTCTAGGTATTATATGCAAAGGCATATAGGGCACAGTGTGCTGCATGCGGTAGATTCTCAATAAATATTGATGACAGTGATAGCATAGTAATAGAAATATATAGGAGAGAGGAAAAACGCATTGCTAGATGATGGTGGGGCTTACAAAAACACAAGAGGCAGGATGGTGTTTTGGTAGGCTACTAATAATCTGATGCTAGTTTGTACTGGAAAATCATGGTGTAAAGAAAATAATAACGTTGGGGTCAGATGGACTTGGGGTAAAGTTCTAACTAGGCTAACCACTGCCTGTGTAAGTTGTGGGGGAAGTTGCCTGATCTTTCTAGGCCTCAGAAAGATGAAGATATAAATTAAGGATGGGATACTAACCTTGCTGGGAGGGTTTCTAGAAGGATTTTGGATATGTTACATCAAGCATTTAGCAATCCTTAGGTACATGGCAGGCACACAACTTGGGGTTGTCATTGCTCCCTACTATAGTTATGGTTTGTGGCGTGGCTATTGGGCACACACAATAGTGGGAAACGTGGTATGCTGTAGTGGCCCTGTGGGTGGGGATGCCCTCACCACTTGTCTGCCAGAAGGATAACAGTGTCCCAGAAGAGGAAAATTTGAGAAATTTAAACTCTCTCTTGAGTCTCCACCTTGCCCCCAACACTTCAGCTATTGATTGGAACTTTTACATGGGAACCCAAAACCAAATTCTGACCCCCAAGCTGGCACTACAAGCCAGTACAAAACTGGGTCCCACAGGCTAACACTCTGAGCTGGAATGAGATTTGTGTAGTGAAACCTGGGGAGCCCCGACACTCAGAACCCCGAAAACCAGTGCCAGACCCTCTTTCTTCACGTGTGTAATATTTATCTCACTGATGTTGTTTTTAAGTGTTCTTTCACTAAAATAGCCATGTTTGTTTCTCCTTGATTTAGGATATTTGTTTCAGGTGTTCTTGATATCCTGAATCAAGGGGAAACAACTGAGACCATATAATAGATTTCAAAATGGATAAGGTTTTTGTTATCTATTTGCATTTCCAGCCTTGAGGATTCATGTGAGTGGTTCCACAGTAGCCATCCTGAAGAGAACTGAGTGCCAGTTCCTGTATGAAGTGAGAGGAGAAACGTATTTAAAGGTAAGGAATTCACAGAGACAATACACAGAACAAGCTCTCGGACACAATGGGCCACCTCCTTCGAGACATGGCCGGGACCATTGAGGAGCCTAAATATGAAGACGCCTCTCCTGTACTCCCCGCAGAGATCACCCACTGCCCCCTGGAGGGGAAACCGCCCCTGAAGAATGTAAACTCACAACTTGCCTTTACTCCAAAGAGCCCTTTTGATATTCCAAACTATATCTTACAAATGTTTCACCAACATGTTATAAAATGCTGCCTCCATTGCCTCCACACATATCCAAGTTTTTGTCCCCCGTTTCTCCTCCAAACCCAAGAGCAATAGTCTGGTCCACGATTTCTTTAACTTAAGTCAATCCCCCATCTCCTCCCTTCCTTTCTCTTACCATGAGCTGCTGCTGCTCTCTAAGGTCGCCTCTCCGGCCAGTTGCTTCCTCATTCTGCCAGTTCACTCTGGACTAGTGCACGGCAGGTGGGGCCCCACACTCCTCCTAACTTGGCATCATCTGGATGCTTGTTAAATGCAGATGTCTGGACACCCCACCAGGCTACTAAGTAAGACTGTGGATGTAGATTGGCGATCTATATTTTTAACAAGTATGCTACGCGTTTGCAATCACACTAACGTTTGAGAATTACCACTCCAGATTCTCCATGCTGTTCTGTGCATTTAAAACAGCTGTCCCCCAAAGCCACCGGCTGTCTCCAGCAGGTTCTCATGCTGCTTTTCAAAAGTTATTACAATCTTTTCATAATTGGTCTGAAGCCAACTATTGACTGTAAGATTGTCTGTCTCCAGTAGCCCTAATGCTTCTGGCCTTTACTCTTTGATCACACTTTGGAAAAGCCTCCTCTTATGTAAAATGTCCTAACATCACACTTGCTTTTTGAGTGAATTTTTAATAAATGTTTTTAAGTAAGTTTTCCACACAAAACATTCCCCCAAAATAGAAGAGGTTTATGGATTACTGTAGTCCAAATACAGCCAGCAAACCACTATTTTTAAAAATAAGTGTTTTCAGAGGAATGGAAATCATCAAGTCGAAGGTATACCTGTTCCCCAATGTTCATTGCAGCCCT